AATTCACAAATAAGGTTATGGGACGGAAGAATCTAGGAACTCCCTAAGTCACGTGATAACTGGAGAGGTCCCAAATACTAAAACTATAGATAGGTCCACGATAGGACCTTAGAGTAAAGGTCTATAATAGGACCTTAGGGAGGAGGTCTAACTTAGGACCTTAGAATAATAGGTCTATATAGGACCTGAGGAATATTTGAAGGATAAGGGACCTAATATAGTATATATATATAAGGGTACTTATCGCCTACTTGATTTCGAGTTATCTTCTAATACTTAAGATTAAAGCCAACTTTATAGTAAGCTATAGCTTTATAGCACTAGTTAATACATATACTTCCCTTTATCTATCTAATATCCCTTAATACCTTTATACTAGACTTGACTAGTGTACTAGCTTTATTTGCTTATAAGGACCTTAGAGAGTATATATACGCTAAGCTAGACTTAGAGCTATTGCCTTAAAGTTAGATATCAAAGTATCCTTCCTATAGTAAACGAGCACCGTTTATACTCTAACCTATTTATAGAGTACCTTGAGTTATACCTTTCCTCAAAATGCCTTCCTTATTTCTATAAGAGAAGCCCACCCTTTGTAGTATTAATTTTCCCGCACCTACAGTTATAGGCACTCGATATAATCGATTCCAACTTAATATAGTTACCCTAACTAGAGAAAAGTCTATAACTAAAAGACTAGTTAATACCTATAGTAGATATAATCACGACCCCAATTAGCCAAATATCTAAAAGGAAAATATAGGTATATATTCCCTACCTTAAATATTTGAAGAACTAACTAGGATATATTACCCGAATAATAAAGAAGTTAATATATCTACTATAAGTAGATATACTACTAACTCTAACTATATCTTGGCCCAACTCAAGTAGCAGATTAACGCGCTAGAGAAGAAAGTTAATAATTAAAACTATAAGGATAATATCGAGTAGTATAAGATATAAATTAAGGGAATATTAGACGAGATCTAAGCCTTGAAGGTATAGACTAGAGATATAAGAGTATTAGTTAAGATTAGAATACCTAATACCTTTAAAGGAGAACGATATAAGCTAGAGCACTTCTTAAGTAAATATAATATCTACCTAACTATTAAAGTAGGACTTACTAAAGTTAAGAAGGTAATCTTTACTAAATTATACTTACGAGATACTATAGCTATATAGTTTAAACCTATACTAGAAGACTAAATTAATACCTAGGGATAATCCAAAGTCTATACCGAAGTTTTAGAAAGTTACCCAAATTTTAAGACTGTGATTAGATAGTTCTTTAGAGACATGGATTATAAATAAATACTTAAAAGAAAACTCGCTAGCCTATAATAGATTAGAGATATAGCTTAGTTCGCAGTATAACTATAATAATTATACTAGGAACTTAAGATCTATAATAATAATAGAAAGATAGCTATATTTAAATAAGGACTTAAGCTAGAGACTTAATACGAAATAATTAAAATGGGACCCTACACAAACTATAGTAAAATAGTTAAAATAGTAGTATAATTGGATAATTAATTATATAACTTACGGAACCTATAATAAGGAAAAGTAACCTTTTAGAAAGGAACGAATTAATAAAGTATAAGTAAGAGAAATAACTATAAACTAATACTAATAGAACTCGATGCTACTATAAAGAAACCCTATAATAAAGAAAAGAATATAAGATACTAATAATAGAAGTTATATTTCTATTATAAAAAACCCAGACACTAAATAAAGGACTACAAGAAGAAGCAGGAGAATATAGGGAAAAGCCTGAATACTACTACTACGTCTAGAACTAGTAGCCAACAGGATACGCACCACTAGAACGCTAAGAGATATCTATACGCGACAGTAAGAATATACTTATAAGTACTAGATCAGAACTCAGATAGCGATTACAAGGCTAACTACTAATAAATAGAAAGCTAATAGAGTAAATCTAATAAATAGATTATATATAGAGATAAGCTAACGTTATAAAGATAAAACGCGACATTAGGGCAAGAATAGAAATATCTAGAAGGATATAGGAGGGAACGAAGTTAAAGAGATACCCTATATACTAATTAAGAACACGACTTAATAATAGAATCTAACTAAGGAAAGGAGATGGAGCTCCTTTCTGA